TCTTGCCTAAAATCTAATGAGAGACTCTTAGCCAGGACCATCCAGCTAATTTGCTCCCGAACTCCTGTCCCACAGAAACTGTGAGACAGTGAATTTTTTTTTCGTCCACTAAGCTTTGGGGTAATTTGTTATGCAGCAATAGATGGTAATACAATTGTGCTGTTTAATTTCCAACATTTGGAGACTTCATAAATACCCTATTATTATGTTTATGTTTTTCACCAGTTTTCATCATTATTTAGTCAATCTTTTTTCTGCTCCATTACCTCTCTCTCCTCTCCTTCTGGGGCTGCAATTACATATGCTTGAGAATTCTGGATACTGTCACTCAGGTCTCGGAGGCTCTGTCCCTTCCTTCCACCTTCATCTCTCTGGCCTGGATGATCTCTAAGAGTGGTCCTCTCTCGTGTTTGACAGCTGGGTCTCTTCTTCCCACTTAGTCGCAGTCTCTGCATTGCCATTCCCTCCAGCCTTCTCTACCCCCCGCTCTGGAGGTCTTTCTTGCAACTGCCTTTCATGCTTATTGCATCTATGTCACATCTATCCTTCTTTTCAGTTGAGAATTTCTCTTCAGTGCAGAATTTAATCAAGTTTATTTTTCCCTGTTCTGTATGGAAAAGGCGGACTTTTTATTTAAAAGCAGCAGGCAATTAAGTTCTATTGTCTACTGTGACCACACAGAATGATTCTTAAATAAGTTTTTATCTTTGGCATAACAACTGATATAATTTTACAAGACCAATTAGAAGATTTAGCAATTCTTCTAAGTAAACAAAACGAAGTACCATGTCTCATTGGTTTCAAACTGAATCTAGCCTGTATTTTGACTGTGGAAATATATTTCATCCCTTCATCACAACACTTAATATGCACACTGTTAAGCTAGCTTCACATGCCATAAGGAAAAAGGACAAAACTCCAGTGATTTTGCTGATTAGATCTAGAAACATTTGCCATCTCAAAAGAAGATGCTAATCACTTGTATAAGGTATATATAAGTGTAAAGGCTACCTTCANGAGGCAATTTTAAATGTATTTCCCATTTTTATCAGGACACATTAGTAGTAGCATGAGAAAAATTAGAGCCAACATATAACTTGAGAGGAATTTAGGGGAATGAAAATAAACTCGTATTATTGCTGGGTACTGTGCTAAATGCTGTCACATGTTATTTCACTTAACTCTTACAAAGATTTCATTGACTCGTTTCCATTTTATAGCAAAGAACAAATGGAAGCACAGACAGAATAAGGGACTTGCTTGTGTCACACTCCCATGATTGACAGAGATGAGATTCAAACCGAGTTCATTTCTAAATCCCATGATTTTTCCTCAGAGGTCAGGAGCCATGATCGTGGCAGCAGGGGTTCCTGAAGGCTCCTGTGATTTCCTGCTACATCTTACAGAGTTTACAAAGGAGGAATAAATTAGTAGCACAATGGAGTCAGAGAAAGAATGAGCCTATTTCTTCATCTGTAAAATGGGTCTCATACCGCCTCCTTCCTAGGGTTGCTGGGGGATTTTATAACACACCGGAACTACCCGACCTGGCCCAGGCAGGCATTACACAGAAGGTGGTTACCTTCTCCTCCACGAAGCCTTCCCCGATCCCTCACTGAGCAGTCACCTCTCTCTCCCCTGAGCACACTTGGCGTTTTATCTAGAATGCTCTTATAGTCCTCACTACTTTTGGATGATCAATCTTTACTAATGAATGAGTGGCTAAGACTTGTCTGGGCATCTTTCTCACTCACGTACTGGATGTGAGTCCCTGGGGACAGCACCTGACTTACTTACCCCTATATCCTTTCTGCATTTACCTTATTATCCCTCATGTCTTGAACAGATGACATGAAAGTAAAGAAAGCCTGAGGGAAGAGGAAAGGAAGTCAACAGGAGATGCAGCAAAGAAGGAACCAGAGGCTATTCTTGAAGAGACTGCCCAGCACACTTGGAAAGGTAGCAGATTCACCTAAATTCAAACCGCAAAATCATTTCCTACAAGGGAACACGTAGAACCCCAGGACACCTGCTGTCCTCAACACAGCCTCACTCCAAAGGGAAGGCCTCCACTTGGCTGGACCGAGGCCCACAGGCCACCAACTTGTGACCCCACCTCACAGGGGCCTGCACGCCTCCACGCCTACTGTGGGCACCATTGTCATGGAGCGCTGTTCAGTCAAAAAAGCTACTTTGCCAACAGGAGGATGTTATGTCATTCTGCACTTGGGCTGAAACCTAATTACCTAACTTCTACTCCCTGCTGGCCCATGAACAGCACTACTGTTTCACTTCCAGTAAGTGGCTTTCCAAATGCTATATTCATCAATTATAAACTTTTCTTTTTCAAATACAGAAATGCCTTTTCTTTTTTTTTCATTTTGTGAGGCCGCAGGCTAGCCCAACCACACTCCCCTCCTCTATCCCCGGAACAATCCAGTCCTGCGAACTGAAATACCTTACAAACCTCAGCTCCTCTCTCTAGGATGAAGAGGACATCAGTCCTTTCCCCACACTGTTCCCTGCCTTGTGGCACCTCACAAGGTGCCCTCACTCCAATAACTAACACAGTGTTTGGAGTTGCCAGTACCCCTCCTTTCCTAAGGGGCCAGCTGGTAAAGCAGGCTCTGCCTTGTTCCTGTCCAGTGACCCACCAAGTCTCCCTGTCTTCTGTTTGGGGCCTGGCCAGGATCTGCTGGTCCCCTAGCTGAGTGTCTCCTAGCTCCCTGCTGCTGTGATAGGTGCTCACCTCTGCCTGTCACATCAACAGGCTGGCGTTTTCCCTTAGGCTTCACCAGAGTGGGCCTTTCCCACCTGTGGGGTTAGGTTCCTAAAATATACTGGAAATTTTATACTTGAAGACCTTTAAACTTTATTAGAAAAATAGTGCTAGAGGATTGAGATGGGCTTGAATGTATGAAAACCCGCATACATGCCTTTGTGTTCACTAAAATAAGGCAAGACAGCCAATACGGATTGTGCCATTTTCATGTATCCCAAACTAGTGAACTACAATTAATTTGCACCCTCCTATTAACTTCCACTGAAGGGTGAAGACAGGACTGGATGGAAACTCTAGCTCTCCCTCCTCTAGGTTTCACTGTGATGCTTGTAGATTCCTTCTGACTTGATACTAGAGACACGTATGCTAAGGTATCTGCGCATGCCTGCTCCTCCATCCAAATGTTCAGTGACTTTTTAATTTTGTTTCAAAGTAGCAGACTACTGGGTAATCATCTCTAGCATTCTGCCACTATCCTATGGATAAAGAGAAAAACTTGTAGTTTTTCTAGCTGAGCTAAGCAGGTATATCTCAAGTCTTTCCTGAGTGTAAAAGGTTATCGGGTATTAGCTCTGCCCATGGTAATTTCTTGCTAAGCAAACTCCCACAAAAATGTAAACTGGCCACTCCTTCCTCACATTCTTCAGCATGCTTGCCCAAAGGTCCGTTTTATGTATGAGAAAGAGGTATTTTTTCTTTTGGCTAAAGAGCAAGGGGACCTCATCCTGCTTCTTGGCTGACAGGAGGAGGGAAGACTGACAAGGCAATGGAGGTGCACGTGTCTTGAGAGACAGAAACACAGAGTCAGCTTTGAAGAAGAGTCGCAACCCAACCCAATACAACCAGGACCCTGAGCAGCAGAGGACTCCTGGGCTCAGCACAGCTCATGACCATGCAGCAGACAGGAAAGGACTTTTCCCAAGTTCCGCTGCCTTCCCAAACTGTGACCTCCACAGAGAAGGTCAGGGAGCAACTTCAGCCAGGACTGAGGTCAAGGTTTCATTTAATTTTTTAAATATGCCTGCCCAGCAGAATGAGGCTAAAAGTCAGAAATGACATTATTGCAGAAAATAAAGTTCTATTTCTTGCCCACCTGAATTTGGAATGAATCACACTTGCTCCACAAAAACCAGTGAGGAGGATGTTCAGATGGAAACAGAGCTCCAGCCTAGAGGGAGCCAGGGTTTCAACCTCTCTGGTGGCCTCCCAGCTGCCTTCTGTTGAGCAGGCGCCCCCTATGTTCTCATTCTGTCCCGCTGCTTCTGCGTCTGCCTGAGGCAGGGATGTGCCACCCTGGCCGCACAGTGCAATCACTATATGCACCTGGGGTTTCCCCAGGGATCCCGATTTAATTGGTACTGGCACTGCCTTGGGGATTCTCAAGTCTCCCCAGGTGACTGCATGGGTGAGAAGAGCCCCCTGTGGGCTCCACCCGGCAAAGGGCTTCTTGCGTCTGCCTTTTGCTTGGCCTTAGTCAAGCTGCTGACTTGGGATCAGAGGAGCTCAGGAGATTTACCTTTTACCTTCATTCATGTGCTGAACAGGGTCTTTGGACTTACAGTGGTGTGGACTGCTGGGTGTTGGGAAGGTCATGTACAAAGACAGAAGCGACAAACTTGGCCCTGGATGCTGGCAGTGCCAGGTGCCTCTGGCCTGAGTATGAGTCACGAACAAGGCAGCAGGAGTCCACAGAAAGAGCTGACAGTTTTCCCATCACCTCAGTTCCATCCAAGGCTTCCTGCACCTTCCTTTGCTGCTTATTATGGGAGGTGGGCTGTCATGGTAATGGAGGAGGCTGGGTAGAATGGGGATCCCACCTTCCCATGCCACCAGTTGTCAACAGAAATTTTTGGGAAGTAAATGTGGGAGGATGATGACATTTTCTACAGTGGTGTGAGAAAGACTGGCATCTATTTTTATCATCTGACCCTGGGAAGCCAAGGAGCCACCCTCAGGAGGTGGAGGGGGAGGTGGAGAAGGGTTTCTGTAATTGCTTCTGATTCTTTTTGTTGACTAGCAGCCTAAGGTGTGATGAGTGACTGCTGATGTTGGGATGATCTGAACTTCTGTTGGCGAGGTCATGTGGGTTTCCCCCCTTCCTCTAAGGCCTCCTGAAAGAATTCCAAGATATGAAAAGCCCCTCTAAGAAAGCCCAACTATCTTTCTGGGATATGTGAAAGAGCCAAAAGATAGATGATAATTCTTACATTAAACGGACCTGAATTGAGCTGCTTGATGATAAATTCGATCTGGCGGGTCATTTCAGCATCGCCTTCTTTGCTGAAGCAGCGAAGGATGTCCTCCATTCCCTGGAAGCATTAGTGAGAGTAAGAATGATCGTTTCAGTTCTTTGGGGGGGAAACTACTGTGCAATGGGGTGGTTTCACCTAATCAAAAAAACACCCTTTTTTGGGGGGGAAAGGATATTCACAATAAAAATTTCTCTGCTGAATACAAAATTTTTATTATTTTTACAATTCAAAGTGAAATTAGTTTTTTCTTGGTTGATTGTCCTAATTATAATACATTTAGCAAAAAAAAACCAAAACACCCCACAAAACTATTGCAAAATGTTACGACAAAAGTATTCCTTTAGTTTTGACAATATGTTGTTTTCGAAGGTGGATTCTTTCCTGTGTTTTTTTGTATATTTAAACATTTCCTTCTGGATTTTAAGGACAAAAATGGTCTTTGAAAAATGAGCCCATATGTTCAGAGATGTAAATGAACAAATAGAGCATCTTTTTAAACACCTATCTTTTTTTCTATCAAAAGAATTATAAAGTCACTACATTATGCATTGTTTACTTTACTACCAAACAATGATTAGCAGGATTTCAGGGAAACGCAGAAGATACAACTTAAGCACAAATGTCTATTTCCCTTCCTTCCTCTCTCCTTTCAGAATTTGTCTAAGTGTATATGGCTGGGGCTGGTGAGGCCTTCTTGCTACCACAAGGGGAAGTGCAGAACCCGAAACAGGAAGCGGAATCTGGAGTTGCTGGCACAGGGATGGATCCTGTGACGTGTGAACCCCAATGAAGCTGTGCCTGAAGCTTTTCCATGGACTTTTCAGTACATGAGCCAATGAGCTCCCCTTTTTAGTAGGCCAGTTTAGAATGGACAGCTCTAACTGATGCAGATGTGCCAAGCATAGTTTTGAACATGGTCACTTCCCACTATCTAAAGCAGAGCATTACCTTCTAGAAAGGTTAAATCTGGACTGTAATCCTAGTTTCCCCACAAATGAATTGTGTAGTCTTGGTCAAATTACTTAACTCTTTGCAGCCTGTTTCCTCAACTATAAAATAAGGATGGCAATGTGAGTTAACTTGAGATTTTTAAAAGATAATGTATATAATTGGGTGTTGCTTATAGAGATTATGTCAAAATGCAGTGAACTTCACATGTATTTCACTTGTAAATTATACCTAAAAAAACAGCAGTCCCATGCCTGGCACACAGTAGCAGCTCAATAATGGCTAAGACTGTGCTTGCTGCATCTGGTAAGTATTTGTGGCTTAGGAGAGAGATCTAGTAGCTGAAGCCAAGACAATAAACAAGGTTCCCAGTGACAGCCGAGTAGGAAGAGAAGAGGACAGAATCTCACCCAGTAATAACCTTGACTGAGGGGCAGAGACAGGTAAGCCAACAGAGGAGAACATGGAGTGTCTTGAACTCTGGATAGTCCTTAAGTCAAGGGAACCGCGTTTCAAGAGGGAGTGGTCAGCAGTGCCTGGGGCCCTGGGAGACCAGTCAGACACACAAAGAGACCCCTCTTCTCTGTCCCAGAGAGCTGAATTTTATGTCTCCCTACCTCATAAACTGGTGTCTTCCCCTGTCTCCATCCCCACCCAAAGTAAGGGTCAGAGGAGAGAAAGCATGTATCCAAGTGGAAGCAGTGTGATAAACCTTAAAATGCCAAAGATCAAGGCTCATCACCAATCAGCTAGTCAATGTCAATGTCTTTAACATTTCCCCAGGGGAGTGAGACAAATAATTCATGCAGGCTTTTCTCTATTTTTTTCTCCCCAGAAGTTACTTTTACAAATGATAATCTTCTCAAATATATCTCCTCTCCTCTATCTCTAGCTCAGTTACTAGTTAGGGGAAAAAAAAATCACAAACTTCTCTGTAACTAGGAGGATATTTTAGGGAAGGATACTTAACAGAAAATTTTCCAACGTGAAATTGCACCTATTTTTTAAAACTAGATAAAAGAGGTAAGCCTTAACTAAAATATAAATTGTAGGAATGATAAATCAGAAAAATGGTATTTTATCATGGAAGTAATAATTTGTCTTTTCAGATAATCCAGGCCAAATAAGAAAGCCAAGGTAGACAGAAAGGATAAAAATAGGTACTTATGTATCAACCTGATGTGTGAAAATAAGAACATGAGCAGTGGGCAAAAAGCAGAGAGATAAGGAACTCACACTCCTGCCAGCTACGATTAAAGACTATCCTGCAGTTAATCACGCAGAGGGCTGCATTTGCAATACAATGCTGAAGCAAAGCAAACGACCGATCATGTTCTGATTTCTCATTAGGAAAAAGTCTGGGACTGTATCCAGTCCCGAGTCTGGAGCAGCCCTGCAGCACAGGCCTGGAGAGCTCTGGCCAAACCACAGGGGCTGGCTGCTCACTGGCTGTGCGACTGTGGGCAAGGGATTTAACCTCTATGCCTCGTTTCATCAGCAGCAAAACAGGCACAACCACAGCAACCCCTTCGGGAGGATTCCATGAGACAAAGCACCTACCACAGAGCCCACGACACGCGCTGAACACTACACGGTCCAGCTAACGTTTGCCTGCCTCTCTCATGCTCAGTATTCGGCTCTCTACTGGATTCTGTTTTGCTTCAGCCCGGTCACTCTCAGTGTCCATCACTAAAGGTCTTCAGGAGAAATGTTCCCCTTAGGGGTGTGAATGTCTACTTCAGATGGATAGGGATGCTTTCCTTTAGCTATGTAAGTGATACAGGTTCTCTGCAGAAAACTTGATAAACTACACAGAAGAAAAGAATAAAAATGACAAGCCCCTACACTAAGAGACAGTAATTGTGAACATTTTAAGGTATTTCCTACCTCTTATGGGCACTGTTTTATACAACTGAGGTGATATTGATATAATTTTTCAACTTTATAATCATTTTCATATGTCAATAAAAAACTTATAAACACAGTTTTAACAGCTATAATAATAGCAGCTAACACTTTTCAATGCTTGTTGTGTGCTAGGCACTGTTTTAAATATTTTATATGTATTAGCTCTTTTAATCTCACAACAATCTTATGGGTTTCGTACTATAATAATCCCCATTTTCCAGATGAAAAAAATGGATACATCGAGAGGTTGAGTCATCAGCCCAACGATATACAATGACATGCCAGGAAGTCACAGAGGCAAGCTTCAAACATGGCCTCAGGCTCCGGCGCTCCCTCTCTTAACCTCTTCACCCTCTGCCTCTGTTCTTAATCCCTTCCCGCATGTTGGGCATTTCGGCTGTTGCCTGTTGTGTACCATGACCAGTAATGCTTTAATGAGCATTCTGATACATAAATCTCTGTTCATGTTTTGTATGGAGCTTTAAAAGAAGTACTGGGTAAAGAATATGAGTATTTTTGCCAAATTGGTTTCTAAAAATGCTGTATCAATTTCTAATCCTCTCACTAAGAGGTACACACTAAGTTTGAAAGGCCCACACATAATGGATGCCATGGAATACGGTTTTTTTTTTTACATGGATAAATAATTTAATTCTTATAATTCCCATGAAGCATTTTTAACTACTTTATCAGTGAGAAAACTGGGCCTCAGAGAATTATACTTAGTTAAGGTTGCAGAGCTAGTACATAACAGGTGTGGGGATCACATCTAGAACTTCTGATTTAATGGCAATCTAGTGGGCTGAATCCTGGCCCCCAGATACCCAGGTCCTGATTCCTGAACCTTCACTATTACCCTTATCTGACAAAATGGACTTTTCTGATGTGATTAAGCTAAGGAACTTGAAATGGGGAGAGTATCCTGGTATCCAGGCTTACCAACTGTAATGGACAATTGCTGTATTTGTGGCTGATGAGCACTTTTTAAAAAGCTTCTGTATGGTGTGTTAATTTCCCAAGGCAGCAGCTAGAATATTAGCACTCCCAGCCTCCCTTGCAGCTAGGGTGCAGGCAGATGATCTAGATCCTGTCAATCAAATGCACCCATGTGAGACTGATCTGAAAGTAGGCAATATGAAGAATCAGGCACCTGGGAATAGACATCTTTCTGACAGCTGGTAGAAGCAGCATGCAGCCCTTTGGGGACAGCAGAGGCAGAGTTTCTGGTATCAGTGTGAGTTGAGGGTCCTGGGGTCATGGTGCAAGCTGTAGCGGTGATGGGAGCAGCCGTGCAGAATGTGGGGGCATTCCTCCTGGCTGTGTCCTCCCAGAGACTCCCCGGCTCTCCCAGAGACTCTGGAAGCCTTTACAAGTGACAGAGCATCTGATCTGCTCCAGCCCAGGGCACAGTGTGCGGCCAGGGTTTAGATGTGGGGGGAAAGCTTCATGGCTGAAAATTACTCCAGCTGTGGGTGCAGGTGGCTATGGAGTGGGCATTAGGACAACCCTATTGCTCTGATCTGCTGTCTAGCCCCAGACCTTGATGGTCTATTAAAGCCTCAGGGCACTCATTTATCTTTTTTCCTTTTTTAGGGGGAGGGGGATACTAAGACCACCATAAAGCATTTGGTCCTGATAAAAGTTTTATATATTAGTCGTTTTCCTCAAGTACACAAATGTTCTATATAGCTGTAAAAACAGAGTTCTTCTAATATCATATTCTGCTTTTATCCCTCATTATATAAGAATTTTCATACTGTCTCACACTGCTTTTCCTAATTATCATCTTCAATAGCTATTACTATTTTGAGCAAAAGAACCATAATTTTATTAGCAATTCCTCTATTACCAGGCATTTATGTCTGGTTTTTCGCTATTACAAAAATGTTGAAATGAGCATCTTCATGCACAGAGCTCTTCTTCTCCACATCAAATCAGAGGAAAATGAGTATGGAGGCGTTAGTGGGTCTTCCTATATCCTGCCAAACTTCTTTCCAAAAGGACTGTGCCAACACACACTGCAAATACCAGCGTGGCCTGAGAACGTCACTCCACCACCACTTCTCCTTCCCCAGAGCTGTGTATGAGCAGATGTTGGGTGGTGAGATTGTGAATGTTCTCATTGGATGGTTTCCTTTATCATTGTTATATGCAAAAAGAATAGAATGTCCTTTATTAATCTAAAAACTTCCTCAAGGATAAGAGTGAAATGAGGGAAATCTCAGTGTTTTAGAAAAACTCTGTTGCCATGATAACCTCCTTTAGACGTCTCTCTTACAAACAGTTCAATGGGCAACCGCTTAGGTGGTGGGTCTAAAAGCTTCCTCTACTCAGGCTATCAGGGGGTTTCTCCATTAGCTGAGTTTGACCCCTACTAAGACGCCAGAGGGATTCCTATGCTTATTCCTTTATCTAAGTGTTCCAAATTTTCTTTCTCAAGTCAATTCAGAGGCTGTCTAGGAACTTACGTCAAAAACTATAAAGGGAAATATTAACCAATTTGATTATAAGTAAAGTTTCCATGTGGCCAAAAAAAACATAATGAAAAACTGGGGAAATATTTGTAATATATGTCAAAAGATTGATAGCCCCTAATTTCCCTTGTGGCCTCTTTGATCCATAGGTAACTCAGAAGAGTGTGGTAGCCAGCCTCCAAGGTGGCCTCAGTGATCCCCACCTCCTGGAAATTCCTGCGCCTGAGTAGCCCCCTCCCACGACCGTACCCAGATCGGTCTAGGTAACCAACAAAATGAAAGTGATGGTACGTCACTCCTGAGATCAGGCTACAAAGGCTACTGCGGCCTGCGTCTTGCTCCCTGTCTGTCTCTGTGGGATCACTCTCTCAGTGGGAATCAGCCGCCATGCTGAGAGAAGCCCTATGGAGAGGCCCACGTGGCAAGGAAATGAGGTCCCCAGCCAACAGGCAGCTGTGCGAGGGAGTGTGGAAGGATTTTCCAGCCCTAGCCAAGCCTTCGCTTCCCTAGCTGAAGTCTTGCCTAAAATCTAATGAGAGACTCTTAGCCAGGACCATCCAGCTAATTTGCTCCCGAACTCCTGTCCCACAGAAACTGTGAGACAGTGAATTTTTTTTTCGTCCACTAAGCTTTGGGGTAATTTGTTATGCAGCAATAGATGGTAATACAATTGTGCTGTTTAATTTCCAACATTTGGAGACTTCATAAATACCCTATTATTATGTTTATGTTTTTCACCAGTTTTCATCATTATTTAGTCAATCTTTTTTCTGCTCCATTACCTCTCTCTCCTCTCCTTCTGGGGCTGCAATTACATATGCTTGAGAATTCTGGATACTGTCACTCAGGTCTCGGAGGCTCTGTCCCTTCCTTCCACCTTCATCTCTCTGGCCTGGATGATCTCTAAGAGTGGTCCTCTCTCGTGTTTGACAGCTGGGTCTCTTCTTCCCACTTAGTCGCAGTCTCTGCATTGCCATTCCCTCCAGCCTTCTCTACCCCCCGCTCTGGAGGTCTTTCTTGCAACTGCCTTTCATGCTTATTGCATCTATGTCACATCTATCCTTCTTTTCAGTTGAGAATTTCTCTTCAGTGCAGAATTTAATCAAGTTTATTTTTCCCTGTTCTGTATGGAAAAGGCGGACTTTTTATTTAAAAGCAGCAGGCAATTAAGTTCTATTGTCTACTGTGACCACACAGAATGATTCTTAAATAAGTTTTTATCTTTGGCATAACAACTGATATAATTTTACAAGACCAATTAGAAGATTTAGCAATTCTTCTAAGTAAACAAAACGAAGTACCATGTCTCATTGGTTTCAAACTGAATCTAGCCTGTATTTTGACTGTGGAAATATATTTCATCCCTTCATCACAACGCTTAATATGCACACTGTTAAGCTAGCTTCACATGCCATAAGGAAAAAGGACAAAACTCCAGTGATTTTGCTGATTAGATCTAGAAACATTTGCCATCTCAAAAGAAGATGCTAATCACTTGTATAAGGTATATATAAGTGTAAAGGCTACCTTCACACTTCCAATGTAAGTTCCAGTCAATGTAAACACATTAAATACTGAATTCACTATTTACCAGCCAAACCAAGTATCAGACAGCTTTAACATCTTCACCAAATTTTCTGTTCCCTATGGCTGCTATCAGAATATCTGCAGATTAAAAGAGTGTTTTGATTGTTCTAGTTCCCATTACTGACATAAATTCTCCAGGAAACTTGGGAGGTAAATCTGAATGGTGATTTTTCTCATTTCATCACTTTCCTGCTAAGCTTCTACTACAAAATCCATAAGCATTCCCAAAGCTCCAAATTAAAATGAGTCATTAAAAAAAAAAAAGAATGTCTACTACAACTTTCTAAAAATAAACCTGCTGGGAACTTTCTAATACTGTGGGTTCTTAATCATTCAGGAGGTAGGGATCCCTTAAGAATTTGATAAAGGCTTCAGATTCCTTCCCCAGAAACTGCAAATATGTATTTGGCATACAATTTCAGAGAGCTCATAAACCATCTGAAAGTCCTTCCATAAAGGCTAGTCTAGGAACTCTTTGCTCTCATGGTTTCTGAATTGTGGCACTGACAAGCACACAAATTTCTCAAGCACATTTTCTTACCATTGCTCTTGCTTCCTCACGAATAGATGGAATAGAAAGGATACTGTACAGAGCTCCATTCACATATGGCTGTATCTTTAAGGGGAGAAAACAAGTCATTGGCAAGTTCTCAAATACTATACAACTCAATTATCAAACATCTCATTTGAAAACAATTTGGCTAACGAGGAGAGTGAGCTTACCATCTTCACAGCTCTCCAGAGCTCCAGAATGCATGTTCCCAAATGACAGACATCTCCATTTCTATGTCCTAGTAACAGCTACAGCTAAGAGTTCAAAACCAAGTTCATCATTCCCTCCCAAAGCTTACTCCTGCTATGTTTCATTGCTTGTTACCCTGGTCATTCTGGCTAGAACCTTTGGGGTCACTGAGCCCTCTCTTGTTTCTCCAGTGTTCAGTCTCCAAGCCATCTTTGATAGGACCCTTAAGCACTGCTGCTGTTCTTGTTCAGACATCACCATCCATGACTTAGGCTACATCAAATCTCCAAAAGGGTCTCTCTACCTTTGATGTTTACACTTTAATCCAACCATCATATCATGGCCCAAATCCTACAATATGGGCCAAACCACCCCTCTCCCTAAGGACCCTAGCCCTCTATACCATCTTCAAGATTTGGCCTCTATAGCATCTCCCTCTGCTCCTCCCTTCTGGCCACCATTAAGTTCACACCGCATAGATTCCACTCTATGTAAGAGGACTCCCCTGCGCACGTACGCGCGCGCGCCGTGACCGGCCTTGGTCTGGTTCTAGCAGTTCATTTACTGGGGATGCTCTTCCTACATGTGTCTACCTAGAAAATTATGATTCACCCTTTGAACCTCAGCTCAGACATATCTCAGAGGGAGCCTCTGCTGAGCCCCTGGCTAGAGCACTCTTCCCTGCTTCCTGTACCTCCCTCTACTGCTCTACTAGATTCAGCATATTTTCAAACTTACACTTACATCTCCCCTATTATGAGCTCTTCAGGGAGAGAACTGATGTTTTACAGTAGGGAACCCCAACCTCAAGCCAGCACAGGACATGGTACATGGCAGGTGCTTGATAAATGACAGCTTCCTTTTGAGTAGACTGTGTTAACAGTCTATGGCAACACAGGAGAGCTCATTTCCTACTACCCTTTTCCAGTACTGGACTTTATTATATCATTTAAAATTTTTGTCAATCTAATGGGTATAAAAAAGAACCTTAGAGTTGTTTTTATTTTCATTTCCCTGACGACTAGCAAAATAGAAAATCTTTTCATGTACCTAGGCAATCAAGATTTACTGTTCTGTACATTGTCCATTTATATGCTTTACCTTTTCATCTAGTTGCCTTTTTCTCTGTGTGACTTTTACTTATTAATTTATCCCTTCATGTATATGGGATATTAAACTATTATATGTGATATATATATATATATAATTTCTTCTCAGGATATCATCTGTTTTTGACTTTGATTATGGCATCTTTTCCCATGCCAAAAAATTTAATGTTCATTAAATATGTGCATCCTTTTCTTTACGGCTTCTGGGTTTCATGGCTTCAAGACTATGACTATCTATATAGGATTTATGCATGCAGCATTTCCAGGCCTTAGAATATATAGAGGTAGATTTTCCAGCCCATTTTAAGAGCAAATGTGCTGGCAACAGTTGATGACAAGATCTGAACTACTCAGTTTTCAGAGCTGGCATACTGATTCCATCACTTGAAAACAACCTTTACTCTTAGGTGACAATATTTCCCACTGGCTTCAACTGCTTTAGTTGAATAAAACGGAGAACAGTGTTTTTTCAGGTCTAGAAGTAATTAAGAGCTTGCTGATTCTACAATACGTAAGTCGCAGCCCACACTGTAACAACCATCAGACTTCCACTTGCTAAAGCAGCCCAGCTCACGCGGCTGACAGGGCAGGACAATGTAAGACGTGAACGAAATGAACAGCTCAGGAGCTGTCTGAAATGGGAACAGATGTGAGGAGATTAAGAGCTTCATGCGGACCCACTGGTCCTCAGGCCTGTCCTGCTAAGACACCCTGCACTTGATTTGGTAATGAGGCCATATTTTTGTTGCCACTTTGGCTTCAGGTGCAAAATGATGCCATGGTTTCTGCCCAGACGTTTGTAGAAAGCAGGTGAGAGAATAATCATATTGTTTCTAAGTTTCTGCTAATTAGTTTATAAATATCTCTATTTAAAAAGCGCTTGTAGTCCATAGGATAAAAAACTTAGAAACTCACACCATGCCGGGGAGGACACCAGTGAGAGCAGAAGTGGGAACAGCCACACCCATTCTGCAGGGCAGTCCGGCAGGACTGTGACCTGCGACTGACACCTGCGGTGAGCCAGCAGTGACAAGGGTCTATGCACCCCAGGGAAGCTCTGGCACAGGCCTTGGCGGGGCAAGTGTGCTGATGTACATGGGGGACCACTGTAGCAGCAGAGAGTGGAGGCACCCCCGGGGGCCTGGACAAGTCAAGCGGGAGGGCCGCACACAGGAGTGGTTTTGCAGTAGTGAGAGTGAAGGAACTATATGTAAGGCCATAGAAAGGCCCTAAAAACAGAGTGAAATAAGAAAGGAATGAGATCCAGAGTGTAACACTATTTCTGCAAATTAAACACACACACACAATAATACATACATATTCAGGCTACATACTTGTCCACAGACATGTGTTAAATACCTCAGAGGAGTGTCACTATCAGGGGAGGGACGAGGATGAGGAGGAAACGTAAGGCATGGGGGGAGCTGGCCCAGCCCAGGGGCAGAGGCCCACCCTCCTGCACCTGAGGGGCGGAACTTGGAAATCACAGCTCTGTAGCTGACCGAAACAGAAGGAACCGCACAGCCCGGCACTCACAGACACTGAGAAGTGCCTTGTGGTAACCGAGGGGGAGGGGGACTGTTGAACCACTGTGTCGTACATTTGATAATTAAAAAAAAAAATTATAGCTTCACAGTAGTTCCTACAAACACTTGGAGGAGGGAGAGTGCAGTAGCTATTGCAGGCTAGCCTGCCCCCAAGCCCAGGGCTAGCGGCGCTGACCAGGTACCTCGTGGTTTTCGTGGCCAAGCAGATCCGAAAGAACTTTCAGCACGAGATGGGCCACCTTGGCACACATATTCTTCCCTTTAGGAAAAAAACAACAAAACAAAACATGACATATCTACACTCAGAAGCACAGTTTCACGTCACTCCTCTGCTGATCAGCTGTGTGACCTTGGGTGAGTCACTTAACTAGACTAAGCCCCAGTTTCTTCCTCTGGGATTCCTTAGGGATTAACTAATACCTATTTCCAAGGGAGATGTAGAATTAAACCAGTATAGGCTGGCAGACTCCAAGCGCTCAGTAAATGGTGGCAGTTGTTATTATTCATATAGAGCACAGAGCTATTCATCACAGTCAGTGAAAGCACAATATATTGAAGAGCACCGTTCCACTTCCCAAGTGCATATGCCATCATAAACTCACACAGGTATTTGAATAATTCAAACAGCATCATAACAATTTCTGCAAATCAATTAATGACAATGAGAAAAGCTGATTAAAATCCGATAAATGTTCTAAAGCTAGGATATTTGGATATGCTATTTTTTAAAAGAGAAGACTGAAATTACAGTCATTTATTTGGTCAACACACAATTAGGTGGTTTAGATTACAATGCATCTGAGGGTAAAGAAACTTCTAACAAATAGCCCTGAACCATTTACCCAGGTAACCTTCTTCTCCCAACACTGGGGCTGCTCAGACTGAGGGAAGCCATAGGCTGGACTTGGTATCTCCTCTAAAGAAGCTTCTTTCATCCCAGGTAACGAATCAGTTAAGTGGGATGGAACCTGTAGAAAAGCTAAAATCGCTACCTTTAATAATCAAGCACATATGTGACTTGAGATGCTTACAGGAGAACCCCCGACCCCAAGGGTGAAGTCTGTGATTGAGAGTGGGGAGCTGGTATAATATCCTTGCTCTGCCAGTAACTTAATTTTGTACAATCTTGGGAACAAATTTCTCTATCTTCAGATAATATGTATGATAATTCTTAACTTCCTACCTTTGAAAAATGCAGTGAAGATGAAGAAAAATATATATTAACTTTATTTCCTCTTGCAAGCATTACATATATATAAAATTTTCTTTCCAAGGTCAGAATGGTACTTTGGCCTCAGAGATTCAACAGCTCTATGTTTTAATTGGAAATGCTTTACACCCTTTCTAGTTTCAGTCTTGTACGAGAGAAACTAAGAGCGAATCCCATCAGGTTCACTGGTACTCCCGATTCGAGGGTCAGGATCTCTTCCCCACCCCCACACCAGAGCCAGGGGACAGGAGGCCGTGAGACCTGCACTCCGGAGGCAGAGGTTCATGAGCAAAGCCACCGAGTACTCCAGCATATAGTCAGACAGGCAGTCGGGGTCCTTCAGAATGTCAATCAGCCAGAAGATGAGCCCATCTCGAATCATCGCTGTTTGCAGTGCGCGCCTGGGAGGCAATGGTCCACAGGTGAATTCAAGCTGCCGAGACACTTTTCATGAGTACACGGTCATGTGAATGTGTGTTAGAAAAGGCGAACTATGCAGCAGATACAGACTCTGGGGATATTTTGTTAGACTCAACAAGTGAAAGAATACCTTTTTGTACCTTTTGTGTACCTTTCAAGGATATTATTTAAGGGTTTAAAGAGACATAGGCAGTAAGGAGGCTTACTCCTCTAAAAGTTTCCATTTTAATATTAAAGTTAGCAGAGTATACTTCGAATACATAACAAATATTTATTGATAGCTTTTGATCTACTTAATCTAGGAAACAGAGCCTTAGAAATAGTTAACTGACAAACATATTTTTACTAGACTCTAGTAAAAACAGATTTTTACTATAATCTAGTTTAGGCACCTTAAGCTCTGTAATAATAAAGAAAACAAAACAGAAAAACAAAAAACCCCAGCTCAATATCATTCTGACTCAGACCTCTATAAAGTAAGGGTGGTTTAATGACCTGGATAATCCTATTTATAAGGCATTACTTTTCACAAAGTTTAATCTTACAAAATCCAATGTTTCATCAAAATGTGCTACAGTGAACATCATCGTGCCAGCTGTAAGAGCTGCTGAGACTGAGCACGGTATCACCAGGACAAGCCTTCGAATTCTTTGAAAACCAGAATACCACGGAGGACCTGCCACCGTGCATCTCCTGATGAGCAGGTTACGGCAAAACGCCCTCCCAGGACAGGATCTGTCCAGGCTGTTCTTAAACACTTACACCAACCTGGTCAGCGAAATTTATTAGGATACAACAAAGTCTACACTTTTTTGGTAATCCTACTTTCTACATTCAATGTAGAGACTCTGAAAACTACAAAAATATTAAGCACATTTCCAGAACAGAAAACCTTAAATTACTGCTTGGAGGAAAAGAAAAAATTGGCAGTAAATATCTGCATTACTAGGAAGAGGTATTTCTTCACCATATCTTACCTCTGTTACTCAACTATGGTTATTAAATTTCTAAAAATTTTCCAATACAGTCAATATCAAGCTACATTGTCTTTATATACAGAAATGAAGTGTTTATGTGATCTGAGGAAGTAATAAATCTGGATTTTACTTACAGTTCTTTTCAATTCACACACACGATAGGAACTGAATGCCTACTGCTGTTCCCCTCTAAACATTCACACACTTAGAATTCACTTTGTAGGCTTCAGGTAATTAGCGAGAGTCGATCAAATGTTGACTATATTTGATGGGGAGAAATTGTGTCCAGAAGAGGACTGACAGAAAAAGTTGGAGACTCAAGGGAGCGGAAGTATTAGTAAAATCAAAGAGAAAGTGAGGTGGTCAAGAGAGAATCTAGATGCTGGAAGAATTATATGACCCATTAACTCCACTCCTAGACCTAGCCAAGAGAAAGGAAAACATGTCCACACAAAGACTTGTATGCAAATGTGCACAGCAGCATTATGCAAAATAGCTAAAAAGTATAAACTGCCCAGATGTCCATCAACTGACGAAGGGATAGGCAAATGCTGTGTATACATATAATAGAATGTGACTCGGCAGTACAAAGGAACAAAATACTGACACATGCCACAACACAGATGAACCTCAAGAACATCATGCTAAGTGAAAGAAACCACTCACAGAACAACACACATTATACGATTCCATTGATATGAAATGTCTACTAGGGGTAATTCTACAGCAAGTAGATTAGAGGTGACCAGGATTAGGGGTAGGAAAGAGGAATGACTATACAGGCATGAGGTTTGTGTGGTGATGGAAATCGTCTAAAATTAGCTTGTGGTAATGGTTATACAAGTCTGTACATACACTAAAATCATTGAATTGTACACTTAAAATGGGTGAATTTTGTGGCATGTAAAGTACACTTCAATATAACTTAATAAAAAAAAAGACTCTGGGAGGATATCAGATCTAGTTCAGGAAGAGATGTCTGATTTTTAAATTCTGATGTGAAGCAGTTCTCAGTAATGGCAGGTCCAGGCTGAGATCATAGGGTGGATTGCTGGTCTGCACAGACAGGAAGCAGGCGGCTCCAACCCTGACTTCCACACAACTTCTACCGTATGTGCCGTGACTGGTCATTTATGTGCATGTCTCCCACAGTGGAGAGTGAGCAACTTGAAGGCTGCCCTCAGATTTTACTCACATGTACAACCTCTATACCTTATGAGTGGCCTGAGACAACCTCGCACCTGGATGACAATCACTAGGAGACTACAGTCCACAGCAGCTCAAGCAGGATGGTTTAGTGGATTAGGGATCAGCTTTTCTAGCTCAGTCTTGGAAAGCCACCCAATCTCTCCTACGCATTAGCTGAAAAACGTCACCTGCTTCTTGGGCTGTCACTGGACTAAAATAAGCACTGAATAATGGCTTTAAAAAACCCAATTTCATTTCATGGAGGTCACCGTGACTTATTGTACGATCAGCACCTGAGGCTGAACTTCTGCAAGGCCCCGAGAACATTCTCCCGTGTGCCAAGGTCCTTGTCTTCCTCCTTCAGCCTTTCCTCCAGCATCCGCAGCACCTTTGTGTTCTGGGAGAGGTAGAGGCGACCTAATAGTATAACCAGAGATGAACAAGTGAAAGAATTTCTTGTTTAGCTCACATTCCAAACCTACTTCTATGAAAACTGCATATAACATATAGAGTTTGGGTAATTTATGTTCTAAAAAATTTATAAAACACATTTCTTCTGCAAAGCTGGTTTTATTCAATCAACTATTTATTGAAAATAAAATCACTCTTTCTATAATCTAAACATAATTTATTGCTATGTTTTTGTGGGGAGCACTGTTCTTTACTTACCTGAAATCTTCCACCCAAAAGTCAAATCTACAAGGAGAAGGGGATGGGGAAGCCCATAAGTCTTTAAAGTAGAGGCAGCCAAGTGTGCTTTTTGGCCACACTCCTTGTTCCTTCTAGAATGTCTGTGGCCTGGAGGAGAAGACCCTATAATAAGCCTTGAATTGTCACTAGCATATTGTAGGCTTGTGTCTTGATAAAGATGACATTAATTTTGGACATGAATTTCATGTCCCTGGCATTTACCCTGGCTTATGTTTGCTAAATGGATGGAAGAATGAGCAAATGAGTGAATGGACAAATGTTGGAGTATCATATATTCTTAATTTGAAAACCCCCTCTATTCACTTTAAAAAGAACTCAAACACATTAGGAGTTATGGAAGACAGTGGCATTTTGTAAAATTGTTTTGAATTTAGTTATGATATATATAATCTTTGGAATTTTCAAATCATCTTGATTTAAGGAGCTATAGTCTTTTGAGGGAAATGGTATAGTACTTATTAGGATCAGCTTTAATTGTTTCACCAACCTTATTTTGTCTTAAGTAAAAAACTATAGAAAATACAATGCCTGTTAGGTACTTGAAAACAATCTAAAAAATACTCCACAAAACTAGAAAGCTTACAAAATAGCACCATAAGGCTTACCAAACAATCTCTAAAACCATCAAAACCTGTTCTGACATAACTACGGCAATATGATAACAACTGATTGTCGCAAAACATCTTTGCTGGATTAAAGAGTAATAGACTGAGGAAACATATTATCTCTCAGAAACTTGGGAAAGAATGTCCATTTTCAAAGGAAGAGATACATCAATAAGACATAGGTCTTTCTGAAGAAAAGCTGACGTCCTACCTTCTGCCAGCGACGCGAAAGCATTGATGAGCTGGGCCATGTACTGCCGCACCACCTCGCTCTTTGAGTGCAGCAGCTGAAGCACACTCCTCTGTGAGGAAAACAGCAAAGGAGAAAAAACAATGAGGTTAAAGGAGGGTGAAGTGACCACGTCTCTTCTACAGGTCTGGTGTCTCTTCTTCTTGGGAATTTATTGGAGATGGAATATTCTGACTAAATTGAAAGAATGAATTATGCAGAGCACTTAGAGCGTGGCTGACACAAAGGGGGCAGTGCTGGTTCTGTTTTTGTTGCAGATGTTTTCCAGGTTAGGAGGATAGATCTAACACACACAAACCATAATAAAACTACAGTGAATGGATTTTTTTTAAGGCATAAATTCTCAAGGACAGAAAGAGCAGCACAAGAACTGTAACAACACAATTTTGGAATCAGGAATGTAGGATTGTTAACAGACAAGAATGCCAGACCCAAGAATGCCAAATCTCAAAGGCAGCAATGAGGGATTACCCAATTTACATCGCTTAATCCTAAAAAGTTGAGAACTGGGGAAAATATAGAAGAATGAATGAAAGCGGTTAAAGCAGCAGCTGGATCCTACTCATGTTGCCCCTACACTACAGTCCTTCTGCGTATCTCCCACCGTCCTCCTGTGTACTTCCCACTCTTCTTCTGCGAGGTAACACCAAGGGTCTCTGGAGGGGACACTAGGCCCAGGTGAGCAAGCCTTGCACACAAAAATGGGGGGTGGGGGAAGTGAATGGCCTAAAGGCAGAATGAATGATGAACAGAGAGTAGCCGGTCCTCTTTCCCCACCTGGCTCCCAGAACACTACCAACCAGAGCCTCACCCTCCAGGCAGATTAGAAGACTCTTCTTGAGGGAAATGACTAGTTCAAGGGGAAAGAACTAGAGATCCTGAAATCAGAGGTTCCTAATAGCCCACCTGGACCAGCCTCAGTGGAGCTCTGGGTCTATGGACTGTACCCTCATACGCAGAACTTCTGATCAGCTTTCAGTCCCTCCACTCTAAACATGGAGATAACCAAGGTCTACCAGAAGCCAAGGTAAGTCTCTAACATGGAAAATAGAGCCATAACAAACGGCGATGGGGGACAGGCAACCTCGAGGAAATGAGACTGCAGGGAGAAGAAAACTAAAAAATAAACTTTGTCACTAATATCCTCAGAGTTATAAGAACCCTTATCATATGAAAGAACAGAGTGCTATTTTAAAAAAGGAAATGAAAAACTCAACAGAAAGCTTGGAAAACAGAGATGAGGATATCTCCCAGGAAGTGGGACAAAGAGAAAAATATGGCAAATATGAGAGAAAAGCTAAGAAACTAGAGAATCAGTTCAAGAGGTCTAACATTCAGAGAGAGCAGAGAAATAAGAGAGGAAATCAACAACAAAATAACCGAAGAAAAGTTCCCAAAACTAAAGCTGTTCAGATTGAAAGAGCCCACCAAGTGCTCAAAACAATGGGTCAAAGTACACCTCACGAAAGACAACAACAGAAATTTTATTAGTAGTGGCAAAGAGAAGATTCAACATGCTTCTAGAGAGGAAAAAAAAACAGGTCATAAACAAAGGATCAGGAATTAGAATGTCTTTGGACTTCTCAACAGCAACAGTGGAACCTAAAAGAAAATGGAGAAAGATCTGCAAACAATGAAGAGAAATTATTTGTTGAAAAGAATTCTGGGTTGTAAAGAGATTTTTAGACATACATAATCTAAAAAAACTCTGCTTCCCACCCATTCTTTCTCTAGAAGTTATTACCTAAAGGATGTGTTCCACCGACCAAGACAATACAGGATATTGGAAACAAAGATCTAATTTAGGAGAGGGTAAAAGAAATCAACAGAGGTTTAGTGAGGACAGATTTCTGGAGAGCAGCTAGGCACCAGATTTAGAGGGCCCGCAGGGCAGCCTGAACCAAGCTACTCAAGAGAGAAACACACTGAAGGCTGTCGTTCCCAGATGCCTGTTACCATGACATTGTCTTTAATTAGGTAAATTTCTTATTGAGCTAAAACGTCCATATAGAAAACCGCACAGATCATAACTGTACAGCTCAAGGAGTTTTCACAAAGTGAACAAGTGGGTAACCAGTAACCAGACCAAGAAACAGAACATTACCAGAGCCCCAGAGCCCTCCAGGGTCCCCTTCCAGACCAAAGGCAACATCTCTCCTGGCTTCCAAAATCATAACTTAGTTTTGTTTGGTTTTGAATTTGTTAATAAATAAAATCATACAGTATATATTCTTTAATGTCTGACTTTTTTCATTCAACATTATGTTTGTGAGATTCACCTATGTTGTATGTTATGTGTTCCTTGTCACTGCTCATATATCCAAATTTACAAATGTATCACAGTTAATTTATCTGTTTTACTATAGATGGACATATAGGTTGTAATCTGTGTTTTGGTGCTTTGAAGTAGTGCTACTATGAACATTCTTCTACGTCTTTCACTGAACATGTTGAATACATTTTTGATACAGTTATACTTAGGCATGGCTTTGTTAGAACATAGAGTATGCAGTTTTAGTAAATGCTGCCAGTGTTCCAAAGTAGTATGCCATGTAACATACTTTTAAACAGAGTACAAAATGTCTGGGTGAGGTGAACCCAGATGTTAACCTGTTCTTGGATAGCCATGATCCCATGCTGATGACGTTTCAGCTCCTCCTTCAACACCCTGCTGTGTGGATCAGCTGTGGGCAGTCTTTTTATCCCACAGAAGCGTTCTCATGTGATCAACTCCTGAGAACTAGAAGGAGATCAGGCAAGCCTGAAAGTTAAAATTACAGAGCAGCTTACCATTTTTCTTGGCCATATGTACTTCCTGGTAACTGGTGCCTGGCCAGTGCTCTGCATCTCCCAGGACTCCTGACTACCCATGTCCCCAAGGGAGTGCCCAGGGAAGCTGTGTCTGATCAGGACACAGTGATTTTGTTGATGTCAGCTTCTCCTAGGAGCCTGGACCTAATGTAGGAACAGTACCCCTTCCTTGCGGGGCAAGGTTTGTGCTTGCTACTTAGCATAAAATCAAAAACACTATTAGTTAGGGCATGTGTATAGATGGGGAAACTATAAAAGAAAGCAAGGAACTGAGAAACACAAAAGTCAAGATGCATACACCCACACTCAGGGCAGCATTATTCACAATAGCCAAAAGGTAGAAACAACACAAGTGTCCATTTGGGGGATGAATGGATTAATAAAAGATGGTATATACATTCAGTGGAATATTACTCAGCCTTAAAAAACTAAGGAAATACTGACATATGCTTACAACATGGATGACCCTTGAGTACACTATGCTAAGTGAAATAAATCCAATCACAAAAAGACAAATATTGCATGATTCTATGAGGTACCTAGGGTAGTCAAATTTAGAGAGACAGAAAGAATGGTGGTTGCCAGGGGCTGGGGAAGTGGGTATTGGGGAATTGTTTAATGGGAACAGTTTCAGTTCTGGAGATCAGTTGCACGATGATGTGAATATACTTAACACTATTGAACTGTACCCTTAAAAATGGTTAAGATCATATATTTTATATTATGTATATTTTACCACAATTTTTTAAAAAGCCAGATGGCAGTTACTCTCAATGGAGGGAGAGTGAGTGGGGTCTAGAAGCTTCCAAATTACTAGTAAGTTTCTGTTTCTTAATCTGAGTAGTGGAAACATCAGTATTTGTTTTATTATTATTATTTAAGCTGATCACATGTTTTTCTACACTCATCTGTGTTAATGATATATTTTATAAATGAAAACATGATTGTAGAAAATGAGACAAAATTTCTTAGATTTAAGGAATTGTGCCTTTGTATAAATGCATATATTATGCTAGATTGGCAAAGCTGTCAAATTTGGAACATTTGACATCACACCACCTCCAGCAGCATGAAATGTAGCTACATGGTATTAAAACGATTAGCTAAAAATGAAAAACTCAATTCAATGCAGTTTTACTCCATTCAATTCAAGTTTTTTGGTCTAAAATAAATAGTGATTCTCAAAGTACGGTCCTGGACCAGCAGCATCAGACCACCTGGAAACTTGTTGGAAACGGATGTTGCTGTGCCCCCTTCAGACCTACTGAATGCAAACTGCGGGTTGGGCCCAGGATTTTGTGTTTTAATGAGCTTTCCAGGTGATAATGCTGCACACTAAACTTTGAGAACCACTCAGCGAGAAGAACCAACCAGTTCAATTTCCTGGTTTAAAGGGCCAATTTATTCTAGTGTCCTAGTGACACGGCATCCATGATACACAAGGGGTTTTCCTGCTTTGCAGAGTCTATGACATCTTAAGATAACTCAAGCTCACTCTGTATTAAAAAAATAAACCCTAGCAATGAAAAATAATGACTTGAGGAATAAATGACATTCTCTTTAGTGGTATAGAGATTACAACATTTTGAAAAATTCATATATCACACATTCTAAAACACCTTTTGTTAGCAGACACATTATTTTTTATATACAATCAAGAAAGAAGAAAAGCATGCCAATTAAACTCCACCAGTCTGTGGAGCACTCCAATTCCAGAGATGCTAAAATGGGGGAAAGTCCATTTCAGAGTCAATGAAGTAGGATAGTTCAGAAGGAATCAGTTTTGAACTTACTCTTTGTAAAGTCATAACAATATACTATTCATCTGCTGCATACCTTAAAGGCCAGTTTCAATGCCATTGCTAATATGAACATAAAAGAAAATAAGTCAAGAAGTTGAGAGACTGTTTTTCAAACTTAATACAACTCCTTTGTGGGAGCAATAAGACTACATTCAAAGAATAAACTGGCACCTCAAAACCTTCAAATGTTACTGCTTGTGCACACAACAGATTAATGTGTCATTAGCTTCCACAGCGTGCTGGTCCATCGGTGATCCTAAGAGGTATTGATACTCTACTCGGTGCACACATTGTGAAGCTTAATGATAGGAAGATAAAAAATATTTAGAGCATTATGGATACACATTCAACTAAAATAACAAAAATGCAGTGTCTTCTTTATATATGCCATGTTCAAGATTGTAGTCCTCACAAGGCAGGTGATGGCTCCTTCTCAGAGATGGGGAAGCACCCCAAAACTCAGGGACTAACTTCCTTTTAGCTGGCTAATAGGTAGTTGGGCAGAGGTTTGAAACCAGTTTCTCTCACTCTGAATTCCATACCTTTCCTACTATATCATTAGACCTATCTGGTTGAAAACTTTATGTAAATACAAAGACACCTTTTCAGTCCGGCCCTGATGAAAAACTTGAATTTGTGTATCTACTTTGCCCATCATAAGTCATGTTGAGTTTGCTGGACTCATGGTAAGCAGAGGCTGAGGAAAGAGCTGGAATTTGAGAGAAGGAAAAATGGAAGAAAAAAAGAACCAGATCTGAGTTGAGTAGCTCTGACTTGTTCAGGACTATCAGACAGAAGCTCAGGCTGACATACCATCACTAGGCTGAAAATACGCACAGAAAGTAAACCTCCCCCTCCTGCTGACTTCCTTCTCTCCGAGGGAAGGCCCTGGCTGGGCTCTGGCCCATCTCGCTGACCTGGCTGTGGCTATGGCAGTCCAAGAGGTCATTGCTCACGTAGGCTTGCAGAACAGTCTCCCTCTGCTCTCCAGGATGGGATGCGGTCAAGCGCTAGAGGGAAGAAAAACACAAGTCTTACTATGGAGGAGAATGTCCATATAGTCGGTGTGTTTTAAATGGCAGTATAAGCAGCTACACATTTACCCAAACAGAATAAAAGACATCCAGCTGGGGGGCTAGTTAACCAGCCCACCTATTAACAAGAAACTGCAGTGTTGTACTTCCTAACGGGCAAAGTAGAAGTAACTGGTACACATGCAGTCTCCAGAGGAGTGAAGTGGTGGAATCCCTGGATTGTACGTGTGCAGTAAGGTAAGGCAGAGGGGCCTACAGGGGTTTTTCTTTTTCTTTTGGCAGGAAGGGGCTCAAGAGTTGGCCCTGGAAGGGTGAGCAGACATAGCCAGAACAGGGAAATGTGTGGTGCGTGGGGAAGTGTGGCCCAGATCTGCGCTACAGCTCAGAGGCTAGATGGAGTGGGACTCTACAGCAAATGAATGCATAAGCGGACGTGAGAATTCATCTAGTCTCCATTAAGCCAGACATTAAAGAAATCTGCAAAAATGTAAATCAATGCCATGCTTCTAATTTAGGAGGTTTGAAAAACAGTTATTATTTTAATTAAAAAATGCTATTTTGTTAAGTTCTGGGTTTATTATTGTTCACCTTAAGTGAATCAATATATATTTAAACTTTTCTCAGTTTTAGTTTCTAATACTGTAAATACTGGTAGATAAAATCCACATAAATTAAAGCTCCGTAATTTTTGAGTGAATAAAGAAAGGGGTCTGAGACCAAAATGTTGGAGAACCACTGGTTTCACTGTGATCAGTCTGAAGACTGGGGAGAAAAGCAGCAATTTAGACAAGGCTTTATTTCCCTTAGAGACTGCTGTCTGCTCATGGGGCGGCTCGGCCATGCCTGAATACCCAGGTCGGTGTGGAGCTGTGGCACGAGAATGGCTCTGCGCTTCAACGCGCTGACCCACGCTCAGTGTGCGCAGAGCTCATGACTGGGAAGGGGCCCGATAAAGGGGCAGCTCCTGGGTGCTGAGATTCCACATAGCGAATCACCCAGGCAAGGCAATGGCGACTGTGCTGTCAATAGCAGGAGTTCTTAAAAGAGGCCAAGGCTATCTTCATAAGCTGGTTTTAACTTTAGGTCTTGATGTCAGCAGGCAACAGGAAGAAAAGATTTTTAGAGATGGGGTAAAGGATACAAGCAAGGTAGCTAGCCAAGAAAACCACGTGGTCTTTTTTTTTTTTTTAACTTCAAGGTAAAGGTACGTACCCAGCGCAGAGCCTGCAACAAGAGGGCTTTCAAGCGGTCACTCCCCCAAACCAAATCCTTCTTCAGTTTCTCATAATCCAAAGAGGGCAGTAATGGGACATCCTTCAGTTTTCTATTCAACAGCACAAGTTCAAAGGGAAAGGAAAGAGCAAAAGGGTTCCTGATGAGTGGCCCTCCTGAGTATCATATCACCCAATCTAGAGCTGCTCTGGCAGAAGGGATGCCAGTAGCCCACTGCTTCCTCCAAGCCCCTGGAATTAGCTCCAGGCTCACGCAGACAGGGCTGGGTTCCAGGCTCCACGCCACAGCTTCAGTTAGCTCAGCTCAGCCTTCCCTGTCATATGCACTGAGGTTCTGTATAACATCTTTCCGAAAACGGGGAGTCCCTGACTAACCGGGGTGAGAAGCCACTGTATTCACCTTAGGCCAGGGCTCCATGTGATGGGGAGGAAATCGACTATCTCCCTGGAGGCACCAGAGCTTGCTGCCAAAGTCCTATTCAGGATCCTGAGCAAAGCCCAAACACTGTTACCATCAGCAGGTCCCAAGAGCTCTATCTAAAAATCTGAAGCCACTGTCGCTCTCAGTCCTGAGGGACCAAATGTGGAGTATGTGAAGGACAGACCACAGGTCAGGAAACACCTGTGAGGAGTAGGTTCACAGTCCACCCTGCAAAGAGGCAAAGGGCGTGAACAGGGAGCAGCACGGGGGCCACCCCCATGAGACAGGCAGCAAGCAGGACAGTTTGCAAACCTTCCTCCAGAAGACTTCAAGTCAGACCTTAGCTGAAGCCAGGATTCGATTAACAGAGGTGCCTCTTCAGAGATCAACACAGTGCAGAACGACCCAACACCTGCCAACCAACCGCTCAGCAACTGGGCATTTCTGGGGCCCAGCTACTCTCCCACTGTCCAAAAAGATTGTGTCCTGCCTTCTCCTTTGTCCTCTTAGCCCCTCTAATTACCCCCTTCACTCTCTGCAGGTGACCTTGCCTCTTACATCACTGGGAGTAACACTAGCAAACAGAGTTTAAGTTCCTGGCCCTGTCCTCAGTGCTTTATACATATTAACTCATTTTTATTCCTGCAACAATCTTATATTAGAGTTACTATTATTCTTCTCATTTTATAAGTGAGGAAACAGAGGCACGGAGAATTTATTTAAGTGGTCCAAGGTCACAGAGCTGGTGGCAGAGGTGGGATTTTAACCCTGGCAGTCTGTGCTTATAAGCACTACAAGACATAGTTGCCATCTGAAGAGAACAAAGGGCGGGACCAATGTCAGACTCAAGCGGGAGCAAGGGAGGAGGGGTGTTGGATCCCAGGTGCCTGAGTGACCGCACAGCACCCCTACAACCCCGACAAGGCTGGCTCAGAGGGTCATCAGAACCCTCGGCCTCACGTCCTCGTCAGAAGTCCTCTACTTTTTTGCTACTGCAACATGCACACCTGCTGATGTTCCTGGGCGTCTGACACTCCCATGGGTGACAACCTAACTGACCTGGATAGGGAAGCTCAGGCATACACAGAACTATCCTGTGACCCCGGTCACGATATGAACCAGCAGAGAAGTGACAGAAAACCTAGACAATGCAACACCCTGTTGACTATGACAGTAGATCAAACTGGTTTCTAAATCTATCATAAAACAATCCAAAAATTTTTTCCATTTGATGCTACCTCACCAAAGTAAACAGTTAACATTAAAAGATACTTCTGGTTTAACAATATTACTTATAATTACTGGTATTTCCTTTAATAGTCACATGGAGCTCTGGCTAATCAAAGACATTCCTCTAAGCTAGGCTAAGAGTGAACATTTTTTATAAAAGTTACTTTGAATCCCAGTTTTACCCATACTCTTTCCAATAATAACAATTCCTAAGAGCAGTTACTTACACAGGTGCCAAGGAGGCTCTTAACATGGTTGAAGCCTAGGGGTGGGGGTTGGGGGGAGAAAACAAGCCATGTTAAACAGTGATAGTAATGTGTTAATCTAAATTACTATAACAGCACAAAATCAACAGATCTGCAAAGTTTTTTATCCACAAGGATCCTCCAACCATAATCCTATATGATTTAAAAATTAGCCCAAGCCAAGGTTAAGCAATACATGACTAATGCATTTTCCAAGCTACCCACCCTTGGTTTGTTGCAATTCCACTCCAGGGAATACCCTATTAAAAAATGGGTGTATTCTCCCTGACCAAACTCCCAGAGGCATTTAAAGCAGCCTAGACAAAGATCGCATCAAGAATAAAAGCAATGAAAATCATTTCATTACCCTGATTTTCTTCCATATTTAAATTTTCTCTTTGAGTACAAAAATACATAGGAATTTTGTACCAAATCAAACAATACAGAGGTGTTTACAGAGAAAATTAACCACTACCCTCCTATCCCACTCCCCTTTAATCCTCTCTATAGCTCAAATCATTGCCTTCTTTATGGACATTCACATTCTCCCATTTATAGTTGAGGTTTCTGTTTTTGTTTTAGCCACTGTAGGCAATGCTCTATTAAGCATGTACTAAAATAGATTTGAGAAACAAATAACCAAATGTCATGTGTGGTACTTTTTTGGATCGACTCAAACCAACTGTAAAAAGATATTTTGAGAAAATTAGGGAAATTTGAACATGGACTGTACTGTATTATATGATACTACAGAATTAGTGTTAATTGTATTAGGCATTGTGGTTATGTTTTGCTTTTGTATTATAAAGCCCTTACCTGTTATATATACAGGCAAAATACTATAATGTTTGGATAGGTAATGAAAAATTCCAGGGAAGAAAATAAGAACAGACCCATAGATGAATGGAACAGAATAGAGAGTCCAGATATAAACCCAAGCATATATGGTTAATTAATATACGATCAAGGAGTCATGGATATACAATGGGGAAATGACAGCCTCTTCAACAACTGGTGTTGACAAAACTGGACAGCTACATGCAAGCAAATGAATGATTGCCTAACTCCATATACAAAAGTAAATTAAAAATGGATCAAAGACCTGAACGTAAGTCATGAAACCATAAAACTCTTAGAAGAAGACATAGGCAAAACTCTCTTGAATATAAACATGTGCAACTTTCTCCTGAATGCATCTCCTCAGTCAATGGAAACAAAAGCAAAAATGAACAAATAGGACTACATCAAACTAAAAAGCTTCTGTACAGCAAAAGACACCATCAGTAGAACAAAAAGGCATCCTACAGTATGGGAGAATATATTTGTAAACGACATATCCAACAAGGGGTTAACACCCAAAATATATAAAGAACTCACATGCCTCAACACCCGAAAAGCAAATAACCCTAATAAAAAATGGGTGGAGGATGTGAACAGACAATTCTCCAAAGAAGAAATTCAGATGGCCAACAGGTACATGAAAAGATGCTCCACATCATTAAATATCAGGGAAATGCAAATTAAAACCACAATGAGATAGCACCTCACACCAGTTAGAACAGCCAACATCGAAAAGACTAAGAACAACAAATGTTGGCGAGGATGCAGAGAAAGGGGAACCCTCCTACACTGCTGGTGGGAATGTAAATTAGTTCAACCTTTGTGGAAAGCAATATGCAGGCTCCTCAAAAAACTAAAAATAGAAATACCATTTGACCCAGGAATTCCACTCCTAGGAATTCACTCAAAGGAAACAAGATCTCAGATTCAAAAAGACATATGTACCTGTATGTTTCCTGAAGCACTATTTACAATAGCCAAGATATGGAAGCAACCTAAGTGTCCATCAGTAGATGAACAGATAAAGAAGTGGTACATAGACACAATGGAATACTATTCAGTCATGAGAAGAAAACAAATCCTACCATTTGCAACAACATGGATGGAGCTAGAGGGTATTATGCTCAGTCAAATAAGCCAGGCAGACATAGACAAGTACCAAATAATTTCCCTCATTTGTGGAGTATAACAACAAAGCAAAACTGAAGGAATGAAAGAGCAGCAGACCCACAGACTCCAAGAGGAGACTAGCAGTTACCAAAGGGGAGGGATGGGGAGGGAGGGAGAAGGGGATTGAGGGGTATCATGATTGGTACATACGGTGTATGTGGGGTCACAGGGAAGACAGTGTAGCACAGACAAGACAAGTAGTGACTCTGTGGCATCTTAATACACTGATGGACAGTGACTGCAAGGGGGTATGGGGGGGGGACTTGATAATATGGTTGAATGTAGTAACCAAAATGTTTTTCATGTGAAACCTTCAAAAGAGTTTATATCAATGATACCTTAATAAAAAAAAATAAGTGAGAAGAAGAAAAGAAACCTTGGCCATCTGTGGAGCCCTTTCTGGAGGGGCAGGCAGTGTTACCTGGTTCCCTGTATGTCACCGCAGCCCTTATATGGTCTTTATCAATGTTTATCATATTGAACTGTGAATATTTTGCAATTATTTCTGTGTCTTTTTCCTTTAGTAGACATTGAGTTCCATAAAGACCAGAGATAATCATACTACCCTCAATACATTTACCACCTAGTACCTACTAATGCCTGGACATATGTATAGAGGCACTCAGCAAGTATTTGCTAAACGAATGAATGAAGACTGACTTCCAAAGTGGACACTCTAGAATCCTTGAGTGGTTTAATAACTCAGTCCTGGCAATGGCTCTGTTCTCTATTGCTTAACCTCTGCTGAATTTACAGACCACAAAAAACCCCTGACTCAATACAAGCCATGGCTGCTGAGCCCTGGGGTGGTGAGAAGGCAGCAAACATGTTTGGCCCTGCTCTTTGGCCCTGCTCAAGTGGGACTATTGCTGGATGGCTGCCTGTGCTGTGCAGGAGGGCAGGTGAACCGTGAAGGCAGGACCCCTTGGTGTGAGACCTCAAGGGGACTGATTCCCCAGGAGAGGTGAAGTAATCAGAGTGGGAGACCTGAGGAAAGGGGCCTTAGCCGCGGGACAGAAGAGGCCGTGGAAGCTGGAGAACCAGAAGAACAGCACGTTCATACGGGGAAAGGAGGTTGCTATAGCCAACTCTCTAACAGGAAGGGGGAAGGGGTACTTGCAGGAGCAGGTCGGGTGTGAACGCAGAAGGGAGGGCTAGGCTGGAAAGCTGCGCAGGTGAGATTTTTGGAAATGGTGCTAATGGGGAAGGGGAGGGCCTACGTGTCTGAACGTGCTGGTAAGCTCTACAGAAGCTTCTTGGGCAAGCACCTCTCCGGCCCACCAGGTCACTGGGGGCCTTGTCCTTGGCCCTGCGTCACCGCCCTGTAGCCTGCAGGCATCTGAGAGTCTGGAGCTGGGCATGGTGCACAGTTACGTGCACACACAGAGGAAGTGCCTGGGGCCGGGGCCTCCTGGGGTTTCTGTGACCAGAACTGAGCCCGGAGAGATAGATGTCATCAGATTACAGAAGGTGTGGACTCCATGCTGAGCTCTTTAGACCTGAGCAGTGGCAGGTATTAAGCAAGGGGGTAACATGACCGGATGCCTCTATGTACGTAATCCTTCCTGAAATCTGAGGGCATAATAAGTAAGACACAACCTGAAAGGTCACTCCAGCTCCCACGTAATAAGCAACAGAAAGGTGGGAGCTTTGACATCAAGACCAGTTAGGAAATGCTACCTTAAGCCAGAATAGACATAGGAAGAGCCTGAATAAACGCAAGCAGCAGAGACGTGGGGCAGGCAGGAAGCACGCTGCTCAGATGCCAGTGACTGCCTGAACTGGCGGCAGAGCGGGAAGGCCTCAGGTGCTCCCAGGTGTCTCTGGAGTGTTGTTCACCGAGGCAGGAAATACAGGAGGGGAGCCCACCCATTTGCAGGAAAATATGAGTCCAGATTTGGACACAGAAAAGGTGATGTGCCTGTCAAACACTCCCGGGGAGGAGGCTTGTAAGTCTAGGTTTGGAAGCCAGGGGCAGATCTGAAGGAATGGCACAGGCCCACTCTGCCCATCAGGATTCTACCAACTGGTTGAGAGCCAAGGTGTTCGATCCTCACGTCACCAGGGTCCGTTCGGATGAAGGACAGGGACAGGTGCATGAGGTGTGGCAGAGGGCAGGTAGGTGTGCCCCTCCTCCTCCACATACAGAGACCTGGGCCTGGAAAGACTGCCTCACAATGCAGCGGGAAGGCAGGCAAGGGGCAGATGTCTTGCCACAATGAAAGAAGGCCACATAAAGGAGAATACAAGGGCCGAAGGTGTTGGACTTGAAGCCTGAGCCATGGTCCACACAACAGGAAGCTTTAGGAAGACCCTCCTCAGCAGAGCACCGGCACAGCGATGCTTCCTGAACAACTGAAGGAGGCCATCCTGAAATAGGGCCGCTGCCTCCCCCCCCGACCCTCCCAAGCCCCTCTAGGTTATTGCTAAGATAGGGGTTGATTTTAGAAGTATACTTGACCCTTGAAAAACATGGGTTTGAACTGTGCAGGTCCTCTTATATGTGTATTTTTTTCAGTAAGTATATTTGGAAATTTTTGGAGATTTGCAACAATTTGAAAAAACATTTTCTTCTTTCTAATTTATTTTAATACAGTATATAACACATATAACACATGTGTTAATTTTTTGTGTTATGGGTAAGGCTTCTGGTCAACCATAGCCTATTAGCAGTTAAGTTTTTGGAGAGTCAAAGTTATACTTGGATTTTTGACTGCATGATCAGTGCCCCTAACACTCAAGTTGTTTAAGGGTCAACTGTAAATGCTTTCTAAGATTCACATGTCCTGGGCCTTTAATATATTTAATGCTATCATACCTAGAAGTACTTTAACTTGTATTTCCAATGGGGTCTACTTGGAGTTGTTGAAGAAAGGGAGGGCTAGTTCCCAAATGGGCTATTTTTGCAAATAAGGATGCATTTAAATGGAAACTACCTTAACCAATAAATCCAAAAACCCAGGGGGCTATGCTCAGATTTCCACCATCCTCAGCCCCTGAGGAGCACCAGACTCCTTATCAAGGTCAGCTCTCCCTGTATGCACCTCTGCCCAGGATGGGTGCTCTGCAGGGGCTGAGAACGGGCACTGTCCTCTGTCAGTCACGGCACTCCTTCCCTGGAGTGTCTGCACTCATGCTTGCCCAGTACAGAAAGAGGGCCAAGAGGAGAAAGACAGACCAAGGCATCTTCAAATGCTACTTGCAGCTACTTGTGTGCTGCATGATTAGAAACAGCAAGAATCTGAAAGCCACCTAAAGCTTGGTTAGGTGAATGTTAAAAGTACCACACTGTTCATAAATTAAAGTCTGAAAGATAAGGGAGATATAAATATGCTAAAGAACTTGGAAGACTTCAAAAAGTACTGTTACAAGAGACAAGTTGGAGAATGATATGTATAAAACCTTAATTATATATAATTTTACATTTCTGGAAGCGTGTATATGAAACATAGTCAACAGTACTACCTAGGAAGGAAGGTGAGATGAAGAGAGTGTGAGGAAGGGATGGAGTTTGTGCTTTGCTCCATTTACTGCTAAATTGTTATAAATTTTTCAGCTAACACATTGCGTATTACTTCATAATCTCAGAGAACAAAACAACCCTACCTCTTGTGCCCTAAGGGAGAAGTTTCTCCTCTTGCTTCTTATTAGACTGTTGATAATATAAAGTCAGATTTATCTGGTATCCCAGCAAATAATAGGCCCAAGTTTATAAGGACCAAGGAATGACAAACCTAGGGTTAGGGTGGTGACAGGTAGTTAAACTGGAAGAGGCCACCTGGGAGAGTTCTCTTCTCAATAAAATTAATCTCGTCCTTATCAATTCTTCTGGGAGCACCCGGATGTGACTGTCAGCTCTGATAATGAGAGCAGGTTTTTGGACACAGTTACCGGGCATGAAGTAGGTAGGGTGGAAACCCACTCCTTCCCACTCACGGTGGCCCCTCCCTCTGCGGGGCCCTCCCCAGACCCGGGGTTGACTTACTGGCTTTGAGATTTTGGGAGAGATGTGGGCATGCATCACCCTGCCCCCATTTCTTGGGGACCATGAGCCTGTCCAGAGAGCCCAGGTCAGTTCTGAGCCCGAGCTGCCAGTGGTGAGGTGGGGAGCAGGGCTTGGCCAGAGCCACCCATGACTGGGTGAGTACATTTCTTTACTCAGGGTTTAAAAGTAGGGAACCCACCTGTCTATAAATAAAATCCACGTTATCCAATATAAGCTTTGTCAGTATCAACAGCAGTATTTTCAGCTCCTTTTCCTTTTATTCTTTTGCCCTATTTTCCAATTGGTTCAGAACTCAGGGGGAAGAAGGGTGCTATTTACTGAAGTCTTTTAAACTTTTAAAAGTGAATGAGGTTGCAGAAGCCCAGATTCTTAACAGCCAGATTTAAAAACCAGTATCAAAAGCACCAAACTTTACAGACGCCAGCAGTTTTCTGATGGGCCCCAGCCATGCTCCTTCACAGAGCACAGTGAGTTGGAACACTCGAGGCCAGTGGAACACCGAGGGGAGGCTGATAAAGGACCAGGCCAAAAGGAAGGGTGGTCTGTGCTCACCTATTTTCTTGAAACTGGTGGCGTGTTTGGACCCAGAGTAGAATTTATTCCCTTAAAAAATGAAAAAGCAACATTCTCCTTCGAAATCCTAAGTCCTATCAGTCACTAGTCATTCCATCTAAACTGTTAACTATGAATTTCCTCTTCACACATTATAAATCTAATAACATACATTGGCTTTAGGCATGCCTAGTTAACTACAATGTTCTTTTATACTTTTATAGTGACCCCATATCTACTTTTTACCATCTTATAGAGTAATCAACTAGGAACAATAAAAGATGGTTTGTAGCTTTTATTGCCTGTTCCTAAGTCAAATGACTCAGGAGAAACAGTTTCTGTGCTAAGGTAAACAGAGCTCATCCTCTTTCCCCTGGATTCAGGCTTAGAATCCCTAACAGGGAAGGATGGTAGGACAAGTCTTTTGACAAATGAGTTAACTTCTAATGGGATAAACTATCATATAGGCTTTTCCCCCTCTCCCTTTTAAGTTGATCCTTATTAACATAATATCAGTTTTAAAGAAGCTAGATGCATCACTCCACCAACAGAAAATGGGAAGATAAGGATTCTTGTATGTGTAAGACAGGACGTGATTTTATAACTCACACTTGGATAACACTCAGTATTTGCTGAGTGAATAAATAAATGGAAAGAAGGGAAGAAAAGAGTGGTCCTACTGGACACAGATCCCACTAAGCTAATTACTGCTGGAAGGCCATCCTGCTTGAAGAACACACCCTGCTCCTTAACTAACTTACAGCTAAATGTACAGTGTTTGCAGAGGATCAACTCAGCCAGTCCTCAGGGATTTGGCTTAAAGACCCTCATCCTGGAGAGCCCATGAAGAAGTTACTTTTCTGAAACTCAGGTGTCTGTGTGCTTTACTAGCATTTTGAAAACAGCTGATTCTCTGGATTTGGGCACGCTAAAGTCACTGCGGTGGTATCCTAAAGCACAGACCCCACCACTTCTATTATCCACACGTCTGTGTATGGCACTGCCAACACAACTAACAGCTCTGTCACACTTCTGCCAGTACCTGGAGGATGTGGTAGTCAGGGACATCTGCTCTTCGCCACTTTACCACATCCTTTGTATGAAGATCCATGAATGACACTATCCTCAGGTCTTAGCTCCAGAATAACCATGTGAAATACTTGCTAGTCTTCTAAAAAATATATTTAAATTTGCTTTAAAATTCTAAGAGTAATATACCTACTTGGGAAAAACTGATGGTCTACAGGGCAGAGGACACCAGTGGCAGGGAAATGTCTGTTTGGGGAGCTATGCGGGTTTGGGGGCCGCCACCTCGTGGATGTGCTTGCTGATTGGCAAATGCAGTACGAATATCTCAGTACAGCAAATGCTGCACAATAAACCTCATATAACCATACTCTCTTCCCTTATAAGTAAATCATGTCACTGCTCACGTGTCCCTTGTTGCACGGGCTACTAGAAAGCTCAGGGCCAAACTCTACTGTCCCCCCAGATGCACAGCAACTTATGACACCCTAGCCCTGGCTTACTTTTATTTTTCCTATGCTCACTTCCTTTAATGACAATTTCTTGGGTATCCCCCCAGCATTACTGACATATATGATTCAATACATGCACATATTGTGAAATGATTACCACGATAAGGTTACTTAACACATCTATCACCTCACATAGTTAACCTTTTTTATGTGTGTCGTGAGAACATTTAAGACCTACACGCTTAGCAACCTTCAAGTACACAGCTCGGTGTTGTTGACTATAGTCACCAGGCTGTGCATTGGAGCCCCAGACCAGTTTTGTACCATGTGACCAACATCTCCCCACTTCCCTCAGCTCCCAGTCCCTGGCAACCACCAATCTATCTGCTGTTTCTATGAGTTTTAACTACAATTTCTTTCCTCATTCCTATTTTCTATTTTTCATTTCTCCTAATTGTATTTTTTCACAATAAGCACTTCAAATCTACTTGAGAATGAGGTAGGGTATACATACTTTTTTAATACTAAAAAAGGCCTTGGCTTATGAAGACCCTCATATTAGGGTGCTAACCCCTAATTAAAAGCCGTGGTGCTAACCCATGGGGTGCCTCAGGTCCCCTGGCACTTCCTAATGGAGCACATGTGGCTCCACCCACTCCGCTGCACTAGGCTGCAGGGTGGTGTGAGCTCCAGAGACAGGGGCTCATAACTCTGAGAGCTTCCTCAAGAGATGCTGGTGTACCGCTCCCTTGGTTAAGAGCTCCCCAATGTGACATCACATGCTTCCAGAGGAGCTGTCCTAAGAAGGATATACCATCACCAGTGCAATATTTTGGCTTGGATGCAAACCCTGACTCTAATCATGAGGAAATATCAAACACAAAAGGAGAAATGTTCTATTTTTTAAAGGGGGAATGACTATGTTCCTCTAAAATGTCAATGTCAAGAAAGTTGAAGAAGGAGTGGGGGATGCTCAAGACTAAAGCTGGCTAAGGGGACATGACAACTCAATGCAGTGTGTGACCCTAGACTGCCGTGTGGGGGAGAATGCTATAAAGGGCATCCATGGCTCAACTGACAACTGGAAAATGCATAGCAGATAAGAATGTTGTATCAATATTAAATTTACTGAAGTTGTTAATATATAGCTGCAAAAGAGCATATTGCTATTAAGAAATACACTCTGCACTCAAGTATTTAGGAGTAATTTATCCTCAAATGGTGTGGAAAACAAGATGGTGTGTGTGTAGAGAGAGAGAGAAACAAATAGATAAAATGCCAACAGTTGATGAATCTGGTTCAAGGGTATACAAGTGTCCTTTGTGCCACTTTTGCAACTTTTCTGTAAGTTTGCAATTATTCCCAGAACAAAGTTAAGGAAGGAAATAGGGGGCCCGTGCTGAGACCATACACCTTCCCATAATGGCAGCTATTGTTAAAAAGAGCTTAGTTTCCCTCCTTTCCTATGGATTTGCAGCTAGTTGTCGCCAGCCCCTGGCACCCCACCCAGCAGAACACGCCTGTCCCCCTCTCCCCAGGGGCCCAGCGGCTCACTCTTCTCAAAAGGTTTTCTTTGCCTTTTAGGAGTTGATAGACCTCCAAAGCCCGCTGAAATGCAGACTCCTGATGGCTATTTTCCCTTGCTCTTTCATTTTTTCCACAGTGCTATTCCTGAATGCAGGTGCAGGGCCTCACCGTCCCAGGCCTGGTGAAGTCCATGCTGTGTGCCAGGCTCTGCCGCATTTGGTTACTGAAGAGGCGGACGCACACGCTCTGGAGGTACTCGGGCGTGATCTGCAAAGAGGACGGAGGGGCTGGTGAAAGGCGCAAAGCTCCCTGGAGACATCTGAGGCCCTGGTAATGATCAGAGCTGTCTCTCAACAGTCTTTTGTAAGGTATGGAGATGAAATTTTGCTTAAACACAGGAATTCTTGGGAGTTACAGCATTGAGAGGACAGAAAAAATTGCTCCCGGTACTACAGGAATGATCTTAAGACATCATACTTTAAATTATGTAATTCCACTTGATATACTCCCACTGTCATGTATAATCGACCAATTTAAAACCATTTCTTTGTGATATCAAGCAGTAAAGTCATTGGCTGGCTGTAATGTGATGGAAGAACACAGGACTTAAAATCCGAAGGTCTGGGCTCAAGTCCTGGATGGCTGAGAAACCAACAGTCCTGCCTCCTGCTTTCCTGACCCACTGAAGGAAATGAGTATCTACCCCTGTGAGTCACAGGGAGGCGGGTAAACAGGAGCACGGATATGCTTAGCACGTAACAGGTTGGCTGGTAAATCCTTGTTCAATGAATGATGGAGACATTTTTATAAACTATCAAAGGCTTAACACCATGAAGCTGAATTACTGTCCCCATCAATGCTACTCTATCCTGGTATTTCTTTAGCATCTCTCATGCCTCCCATTAGCTATTACAATGCAGGTGGTAATCTCCAAAATTTTTCCTTTTGATTTTTACATCTTCTCTTTTTATATGAAGAATACGTGCACATTTAAAATGCACAAGTGCCACAACCTCTTCCCAGTCCCACTCTTTCCCCACAAACCAAACCCTGGAAGTAACTACTAGCAATAATTTGGCATCCTTACAGACTTTTTTCTCTGTCTGATTGTTAGAGAGGGACCTACTTTTCCCCAACCTCATGATTCCACATGGTGAACTTGCACATAGTAATGCAATCGGCCTCTCTCCCTATCTACATACTCAGGCAGCCCTGTGGGAGGAGAACCACACAGCCGATTAGTGAGTTAGCAAGAGGTGGGGATGCTGAGCTAGACCCTTTTCTCTCCTTATGGGACTCTGTCTAGCCACTGGAGACCTCTGGTCTGAGCAGCTATATAAAAGGCTCTGTCTATCCCATGGCAAATGTCTGTGGTCATGCCTCAACACTCAGCTATACGTGAAGCAACTCAGACTAAGGGCTCCATTTCAAGGCTGCCCCTCCAACACTCTCCTGCATCCATTTCCTCTGAATTCCTATAGTATCCAAATTTCAACATTCCTTTTCCATCCTGTAGTTTTAACCTTTCCTTTTGCACCTTTGCCTACCCTACAGCTTAAAAACACATCCAAATATATTTCATATTTAAAAACATCTTTCTATTCCTCTACCCTAGATCTCCATCTATCGACCACCCCATCAATATTCTTCCTTCACAGCCAGGGTCCTTGAAAGAACAGCCTACATTTGCTGTCCCACCTTCCCTTTACCTTCCAACACACTGTAATCCAGCTTCCTTGCCTCATTCCGTGGAAACTCAGGTGGCAAGGGCCATCATCAATGACCTTCTCACTGCCAAAAACACTGGACACTTTTCCATTCTAGTCTTCTAGACTTTTCTGTGGCTTTTGAGAGTTACTATCAAGCCCTTCCTCCTGAAACTGTTTTCTCCTTTGACATCTGGAATTGCTACCAGAATCATTTCTCTAACCAGCAAATTGATACTTTGTTTATTAAAATAGGCGAATGAGGAAAGGGCACAAATAGACAGTTGATTAAAAACAAAATAAAAATGGCCAAGAATTATCTGCAAATGTATTCAGCCTTGTACATAATTAAAGAGATGTAAATTGAAACATTCAGAATACTAACTTTTACTTACCAAACTGGCAAAGATTTCAAAGTATAATGGTGGCTAATACTGGTAAGTGTGTGGAGAAACAGACACTCTGATATATTCCTGAGGGTGGGGGCTGCCAGTGGGTAGATACGGTTGAAATGTTAGGAGAAATAATTACACAACATAGTCTATCAAAACTTTAATGTCCATAACTTTTGACCTAGTAATTCCACTCAAGATCTTATCTTACCTATATTCAAACGTATATAGTATATACATGTTCACTATAACATTACTGTTATATCAAGCAAAAAAATCAAAATGTTCATCATCAGAGATCTGATGAATTACAGTTCACCCTTACAATGGAACAATGAACAAGCATTGGAAGGAATGAGAGAGGTGTGGGCATATGGAAAGACCTCTGAGATATATTGAAAATTAAACAGCAAGTTTCAGAAGAGTAATGGGTCATATAATACCAAGTAAATATGTATATATGCTGCTTGCACACATGCCTATGCATAAAAATGTCCTGAAATGACACATGAGAAAATGTTAATCTTGAATATCAATAAGGAAGTGAGATTCAGGAATTGTGTGTGGGAAGGGGCTTTTACACCTCCAAATCATTTAATTTGTTAACAGCAGCATGCATTTTTTTTTTACATTAAAAACAAAACAAGCTAGTTTAAAGTCTGCCCCCAACTGCGGCCCCCAAGCCCCATTCTATCTCTCTGGTGCTCACACACTCCAGCAGCAGGAGCCGCCGTGCACATCTTTGGTCAGCATGCCACACCTGGTGTCACATCAACCCTGGCTTTATGAGGCACACCAGGATGATAGTAGTCATTTTTTAATAGGACAGAAGGCAAATGCTTTTCTTTTTATTTATTTCTGTACTGCCTGAATCTTCTAGCTATGTACATGTCTTTTTTTTTTTTTTTTTTTT